ATTATATATTTGTCTTATCCTGAATTTTCGTAATAAAATTATTTCAGGCTCATCACTGAATGGCGTATTTCTAAACGTGTTGAGGATCAATTTAAAGCATTTATGGAGGGATTTAATCAACTTATACCACAAGAGTTGATTTCAGTATTTGACGAGCGTGAATTAGAGGTTAGAGTCAAAAATTTATTATTACTACTTTTCTTTGTTTGTAGAATGGTTTGCCAATAGGTTCGTTCGATATGCGTCTTGTGCTAGTTAGCAATAAAATCACTACGCGGAAAAAAATCGGTCTTGGAAACACCTTGATTGAAACACATTATCCATTATTATTCCAGTTACTTATTGGAGGTATCGCTGAAATTGACGTCGACGATTGGAAGAAACACACCGACTATCGAGGATATACAGAATCAGATGAAATTATACAGTGGTTCTGGAAGGTTTGTATTACTTAAGTTATCTCGTCATTTTTCCAGATTTAGTCTTGGCTTACAAGTGTTGATTTATTAGTGCGTACGGTCGTGGGATGGAGAAAAGAAATCGCGTCTATTGCAATTCACTACCGGAACATCTCGCATTCCCGTTAACGGGTTCAAGGACTTGCAGGGAAGTGATGGACCTCGTAGATTCACAATTGAAAAAGCTGTAGATACCTCTCAGTTGCCAAAGAGTCATACTTGGTATGCATGACATTTTTTTTCGTTTATTATTGCGAGATTTTTAAACGAGCAATTCAACCTTATATTTATATTATAATAGCTTTAACCGTATTGATTTGCCACAATATAAGAACTATGAATCGTAAGTCTTATCCATCTATTTGTTCATTGACTGATGTTAATTCCCTGAATTATCTTTAATATTATTTCTTGAATTAACAAAACAGATTGGTATCTAAATTAACATTAGCGGTCGAAGAAACTGTGGGATTTGGACAAGAATAAGATTATTTATAAATTCGGTTGATTTTGTCAGGATCGTGTTGCATACACAGTGCCCTACCAAAAGTCATGGTGATTTCATGATAGCAAATAAATTATTTTTAATATGGGCTATTCTTAAAATTGGTTTAATTTATATGATGTCGAAATAAATATAACAAGATTATGTTCTAATAGAAAACTTCATTTATACATTATATTGGCGATATTAACCATATACGGTATATATAATATTTTTGGTATATTTGCCAATGTATGAGATTCAGTAAATTAATCATGTTTTTAATATATAAATAAAATTTTTTTTGATTTCTATACTTCATATTTAAAAGATTAAAAACATTTGAGTAAAAACATTAGAAATAAGATAGGTTTTAAGGCCCATTAAAATTATTTATTTTTATATTTATCGAGTCCGGAAAGCAGTAATATTTTTGATAGTAATAGATTATGGACTTTATAAATCTTAATCTCCAGGAGCGACTGTTTTCGGTTATACAAAGTACAGATCAACTCCTGGTAAAAATTTTGCCAATTATTTTTCATATTAAGTGACTAAATTTGTGATTAGGCAATTAAACTAGAGATAAACACGGATTAGCCCGACTAGAGGAAATGTCTCGGAATTAAACTAATTGATGTTCTAAATCGATTAATTTGTCAACTATATAGCTATATCGATATAGTTAATTTTCTCAAAAATTAGCGTCACGTGCTAATGAACTAATCAAAATTACGAATTTTAAACTTGAAATAGAACGAGACTTGAATTAAAATTTATTTATATTCAAGGTGAGGTCTTGCCTCTGGTTTTTATTAGTATACTGTATATAATGGTCGATATTGTAGCCTTGCTACTGGCTTACATCTAATATATATTATATGTAATAATTATAGAGATTTAGTTATCTATAACCTAAACTTACCAGAAGATTTTCTGAATTTATATATCTCTATTACTTCTATTTGGTATCATATGTTTCCTATTTCTTTCACAATGATTTATTTTGAACTTCTAATTTGTTATATAAATCAGATAGATATTTTATGCTTCTAATTTAATATATTTAGTTTTGCAATAAAATTACTAGTATATATATATATATTTTTTTTTTAACTTTGGCTAGGAAAGCCGGTGAAGCCTTTATTAGATCTATCCATAGATACATACATAATTTTTGAACTATATTACAACCTATTACTAGGCTATACTAATCCAACTGGCGACCTGACCTTTATCCGGCTGTCCTAATGGGTGCCCAAATATATCCTAGTTGCACCACCAGCATGCTATGAACTAGCGGTCAGGCTATCTCCCACTCTGGAGAGACATTGTCATTAAACCGCCTACTGGTGGGGAGGATCAGACCCATATCTGATACTACTCCTGCATCCTGAAACAACTATATCTAGCTAGACTATATTTCCCGCATCACCCACCTTTTCACTTCTATATAACTTCCAAATTGGTAATATTCGGGTTATAGATCCTAATGATCTTCCAGTTTGGTATGTCATGTTATTAGTTTTTCTAAAGAAATTCTGACAAAGGTCTAGGATCTGCAAAAACTCGTATCTCAAGCCAGAAACTGCTACTTAGTTAGGTTCACCACATGACAGAGTTGGTATTTCATTGATGGGTATTCCCTTCTACATTTTTGCCCAGGTACTACTAACCCGTATCTCAAGTCAGTTTCTGCTGCCGCAGTTCAACCACAGATGCTCTAGGTCTTAATGTTATACAGTTGCTCAGTGCACTCCTTCATTCTTTTAATACTACCTGCTATAGTGAGGTTTAGAACTTATTTCACAAGTATACAGGACAATTCTGGTTGTATCTAGGGAGTTACACTGACCCCAGTAACGCCATACTACCATATTATACTTGCTCCCAGCATGTTGTCATACAAGACCAGAACAATTCTGGTTATATCCAGGGAGTTATATCGACCCCAATGATGCCGTACTACTATTTGAATTGTAAACCTCAGAGGTTGGTAGATTCTAAACTTGTTTGTCATAGACTTCATATAGGTGTGACCAGAGCCTGATTCAGTACTTTTACATGTACTTAGAATGTTAGATAACCTCCATATTCTTTATCTTCTATAGTATTTTCATTCTGCACTGCCAGAGATGCTTCTGCTTCTGATAAGGCCAATCCTTTATCACAGTCCGTCCACGTGTTCACCACTTTTTTTACTACTTCAACTTTGGTAACGATGATCACCCTCCCAATCAAGTACCTGTATCTTCAATCCAGATAAGGACTAATTCACGCAGTTCATTGACCATCCTTCCAAGCAAG